CCCCGGCGGCCCCGGGCCATTGTCCGGCGGGGCTGGGGCAGCGCAGGGCGGAGAGACCGGGGGGCAAACGGAGCCGCCGCCGCCGCCCCCCTGCCGTGACCCGGTGCCCCGGGAGCTGGGCTGGGCCCCCCGGAGAGCCCCGTCCCGGCCGGCGGAGGCCGGTCGGGCAAAGCCTCCTTCAAACCCCTCTCCCCACCGAGGCCCCTCCGCCCCGACCCCGGAGCCCCGGGGGCCTAAAGACACACGTTTTTGGGGATCCAGAAATGCGATTTCTGTGCTAAACCTACAGATTTCCGTACTGCTTTCAGTGCTGCCGGCGGAGCCAGCACACGAACGCCCCGCTCTCCCTTCGTTAACAAAAGTGATGAGGGAGCACCTTTGCCATTTCCAATGGCATTAAGGCACCCCACTGCTTTTGCTTCTCCAATTTTGGGGTTTTTTTACCTAATAAAGACTGGTCTTTTCTAGGGTTTAGTTATTTGAAATGTACCATCCGTGAAAAATAAACACGTATCTTCTTTACAAATTTCTAGACTCTTTAGATGTAAAATGTAAAGAATTTTAGAAAAAAAATACATCATCACCTTATATTTCTGATCTAAGTTTCACACATTTGAGTTTTTTTACCATGAGTCTCAGTTCCTCGAGACAATGCATACGACCTCTTCCTTCATCAGTTCGGTGTCTGAGGCAGGGTCACCCGCTGTCAATTAGTGGTGCAGGTAACGAGGTAAGACAGGAGCTAGTCAATGAAAAAAATGGTCAATCATTAGAAAAGCCTAATTCAGGAAAAAGGACACGCTCTGAAACTGAAGCTAATGAATAACAGTTTAGTAAGAAAATTAACATGTTTTTACTGGCAAAGGGATGATGTCAATGAAAATCTTGCAGGAGAGGTGAATCACAAAATCCAGATGAGTAATCAGAAGAAAAGCAGCATCATACTCTTAGAAATTAAGTGGGTACCTTTGACAACAATGTAAACACAGTCTGAAAAAGGGGACACAAATTGAATCCGGCAAATAAATTTACCTTAATTGCTTCCAGCAAATACTGAGGACTCTAATGACTCATAGTGGACCTCATGAATTGGAATCAGGAATTTTCTAAGATCCGGGTTTCCTATCATCAGAACATCCTCCAAACAAAAGGTTTGAAAAGAAAGCCATTCTGACAGTGAAAAGTATCTTGAAGGCAGCCAAATAGAAATGTTAAAATCTGTTCCTAACTGATATATCCATGTATCTATACAGATATATCCAAGATATATATCTAATGGGCTTCAGCAGACACATCAGCAGAAGGAATGACGGAGACAGTCAGAAGAAAAAGGATTTTGTTCTCAGATCCCAGTTGTTCTATACCAGAAAAAATCAGGATGATAATGTGACTGTTCTGATTTGACTGGTCATATTAGTTAAAACTAAAAGAAGATTGACTGTGACAGGTATATGAAAACCACTGCCTGAGCAACAAGTCTGCCTGAGAGGGGATGAAAGTAGCCAGAAGCTGTTACTCCCGCAAAATAACTGTTATCGTTATTTGTGTTATATTACTTGGTGTTCTTAGCCAAATCAGATATGGTCATAGCTGGATTTCTCAAGACATACTCCGTGGTACAACAGAATTTGTAAAAATGCCAGAAGAATCATTTTGCATGCTGGCATCACAGATGTCACCAAGTGCAAAGTCATTCTGGACACTAGCTTAGTCAAAAATCCCATTGAATTAATCTGTAACAAAATACTAAATCCACAGTAACTTGTATTAGCAGTTACATGAGAAGGAGGGGAGCCAAAAGGATATAGGGCAGAAATAAATTATAAATGTTGGGTGCCTTTTTCTTTCTAGGTCAATTTAGTGATGTTATAGCCAAGAAATTAAAGTAGCCTAGCAGAAGAACGAGTTAGTGTCGTGTACATGTTTATGATACTGAATTATGCATTGAGAAATCTGTAATCTCTCGTGGTGGGTCGGCACACTCTCAAGTCGTAACTGTTCCATGTGTCCAAGTCACTTTGTGCAATTCCACCATTATCTGTCTCGGTGACAGGATCCTCCAGTGGCACAGCACGGGTGTTGATGCCCCTCCGCATCGCCTCCCACCGCTCTCCCTTCTTCTGGCAACGACAAAAAACCACGTGGCAGAAAGCCTTTGTAGCTGGTGGTGTCACACCAGAGGCCTCTGACAACTCACATAATGGCTCTTCTCATCTGTGTCCAAGGACCATGTTCATACCCTCCTTCCTCCAGACCCAAGCAGCTCAGAAGACCCCTTTGTGGTCCTCCCTCTTGCGTTTTCTGCTGCTCAGGACCAGAACTGAGAAGTCTCCAAGAGCGCAGGCAGCGCAGGCTGTCCTCCAGACCCAAGCAGCTCAGAAGACCCCAAAGCCACTTTGTGGTCCTCCCTCTTGCATTTTCTGCTGCTCAGGACCAGAACTGAGAAGTCTCCAAGAGCGCAGGCAGCGCAGGCTGAGGGGTATTTGTGTGCCTCCTCTCCACACCACCCCACCAACGAAGGCTTTTTGGATGCTGGTCACATCTCATCAACGTGGATCACCCTTAACACAGCGTCATGAGGAGGATGCGTGACTCATGTTCTTGGGGCATTTGGGGAATCCAAAAGCTTCAAAAAGTGAAATAATCCTTCCTCTCACAGCGAGGTTTCCCCCATCTTCTCTGGAACAATCTCCCTGCTTTGCAGTCTTTGCTTCTTTGGAAAGTCTGTTTGTATTTAGGAGGAAAAAGGAGCTGAGATCTTCATATGTCTTACTACAGTCAGTGTCCTAGGGCAGCAGCGCTTATGCAAGATCACTTTGGCCTTCTTTGATGATCTGTAAATAGCACAATGCAGGATACACAGTCAGAGAGGTTTCTGGAGTGGGGGGAAGTGGGTTTTTCTAGTGGTTTCGGGTTTTTTGAAGGTTATTGTTCTTTTTGCTTAATGCATCTGGAGTTTGGTTTTCTACTATGTATGAAAAGATATTTTATTTATTTCACTTGTTTGGATTATTTTCCATCCAACTAGCATAGAAAGAAAGTGCAATTTACTATATAATAGAAGTGAGAGAATTGCAACAACAAAACATGAGCTTTCTCTCTGGCGACAGTGAAGGGCTTTCCAAAAATGGTGGACTAAAAGAAAATGGCTCTGACAGCGTGCTCCTGTTAGCATCTGAGATTATCAAAACAGAAGTGAATTAAATAATTTAATATATTATTGTCATCACTGATTATGTTAATCTAATTTATAAATACATCTTTTGCTCTGGACCAGACACAGACCTGATGATGCCTGGACCAATTCCGTGAGGTCATGGTTAGTTGAACAAGATGAGGATCAGACTACTATATAGATAGTTAATATATACTGGCTGGTATAATTCTTCCTGTCCTCTTCTTCCTTTCCCTCACCCCCAAGTCATTTTCAATTTCAGGTTGCCATGAGTCAGCCGACTGCTGAAGTGTTGCACAGCAGACCATTAAAGGAAAGGCTTTCAACCAAAAACTCCTTAGTTTTATTTTATTTATGAAATTATGTGGTGTTTCTCAACTCTCTTCTGCAGGAAGGGGAGTAAACAATCTCTAAAATTCTTTAAGAATGCTAAAATAAACAATTCTTGGCATGACTCAGCAGCTAACGACAACAATAGCCAGCAAGGTCTTTTCTTAATGGAATAATGTTTTTGTTTGGTTCTAAAAAAGGCAAAACAACATCACCAGAAAAGGAAGCAAATCTTTTGCTATCAAACACAGCTCTTTGACTCTTGAATGCAAAGCTCAGTCTTCCCACCAGCGTACCCTGCTCCTTGTTACACAAGTAAACAGTTCCTAGATCTTCCACCAAGCACCTCTGAAGAGGGATGGAAGCTTCCCACAGCACCTCTTTCCACCAAGGCTCCCTCCTGATACTGCCCTTCATCCTTCTCAAACAGCATCAGCAAATCCAACCACGGGCCTCTGGAGACTTGAGTCCGGAGTATGGTATCTGTCTTCCCAGTAGACTCAAATATTGAAGAGAAAATTCCTTGAATAAAAAGGGATTGTTTTTTCTCCCTAGGTTTATCATGAAAATAATTTGTATTGTGCCGCAGGCTATCCAGCAAGGGCTTGAGGTCTCTTTTCGTGTAAGTACTGTCTATCAAGTGTAAATCGATGCATTGTGTACTAAGTGTAAAAATGCTTTTCTGACACTCAGATAAATGATGATTGTTGTTTCGACCCTTGTCTTTCACTCACCTCTGCTCAGTTGCTGACTTTTGTGGTTTCTGAGATGACATGTTGATTTAGGACCACTGCGATAAACCAATCTCATCTCTCACTTTCCATCTAATTTTATACTCTTATACCCTAATGGTCTTATTTGCCACCAGTCTGCATTCTTCTTAGGCATTGCAAATAAATTTATTCATTATGTTCTTTGCACTCCCATGCTAATGTCTTAGAACAAATTGTTCTCTGCTGCTTTATCTTCCGCTGGAGGAAAGTCCAGGCACAAAGCTGGCCCAGGATTTGGTTAAGATTGTTTTGAGCCATCTTTTCTTACAACTCCAGATGAGTGATGTTTTAAGTTCCTCAACCCCAGCCAAGGATTTGGGCCATTATTAATTAGTTATTATTAATAATTGTTAAGTGCCTACAGTGCACTTCTAGCATAAAAAAGGGGCAGGCTTCTTGCCTGAAAGAGCTGTTGCTCTAAGGGGATGTCCACACTGCAGCCTCCCATATCTGAGCTCGCTTTAAAATACTTAGCTCGTTAGCTGGTATTCGTGATCTGGTGTATTATTTGAGCTGAAACTGCATGGAGCTCTGCAAGCGGCCGCTCACCTCGCTCCTCGGCCCCAGCATCTGCAGAGATTTGGCTTTACCAGATCACATTCACTGCGCCGTGCCCCTTTGTTCGGTCCAAGTTTGAGTAGATAGATGCCCCAAGAGGTGGTGCAGCCTTTCAGTTGGAAGCCCGTACCAAATTTCAACAATTTAAAGCTACTTCGCATTTTGCAACTTCTCTTTAATGAACGAAAAAAGAAACCAAACCCAAACAATTGCAAAACGTGTTGGGAATATTCTACTCTGACTCCATTGCAAATATGTTCTGTCTTTTGACCATCTTTCTCCTTTCTATTTTAGATGCCTGACAACACGCTTACTATTGCTGGTTGGTTTCCATTCACTGCAAAGTTGGAATAACTTACGATGAAAGTCCTGTCCCAGTTATAGATGAATGACAAGGCTTTTACTATAGCTGGTTAGTTTCCACTGGCTGCAAAGTTGGAATAACTTGCAGTTAAAATAATGTCCCGATTATAGATGAATGACAACACTTTTGCTATTGTGAGTGAGCACCTGTGGACTGCAAAGCTGGAAGTAACTTACAGTACAAATACTGTTCCAATAAAGGTAGAAGCTTAGTAAGATGATGATCACCTCTTTAGCCCTTTCCAACACTGCAGTTTTTGCTTTCTGGCAATAGCTATAGCCAACTCCATAATTTGGATTTCAAATTTAGTAAGTGATAAATCATGCATGAGACCCAAAATATACAAAGCAGCAGTTGCAAAAATACTCTTCTTCAGTATTTTAGAAAGAACATCACAAAAATGTTTGCCAAATGAATTAATGTTTCTATAAAAAGACATGTGAAGAAATTAGCTCTTAAGAGATTACAACACACACACATGCCATTATTATTACTATAACTAGTTAGCAACAATTTCAAAATTAAGATATACTCTATAAAATCAATAAGAAGGAATTCCTTGCAATTGGCCCTAAGTCATGCTTCCAGGATTGGGGATCTTTATCTCAACAACAATCACTCTCTCTGCTGAGTATTTATTTATTCTCTGCTTCCTCTGCTAGTTCAGCTCCCGTGTTTCACAAATACAACCACATAAACAGCGAGGGATTTTCTCCTGCTCCTTCCAGCCTCAGACAGAACCGTCTCGTACCCCGCTGCCTATTTCATAGAGTTTTTTTCTAAATAACTCATTCTGATGGTTTGCCACCAACTGGCATGGTACAGGCAGGAATTTAGGCACTACGGTGAACTGAGTGCTTTCCACGCCTACCACTCATTAAAAAGTACTGCTGGAGAGTTTACATTCCAAAAATAAAGGTTTTCATAGAAATATGGCCTTTTTCAAATGCTTGCTGAATGCTGAGGTTTCTAACTGGCTAGTAAGAAAGTGTTGGCTCTTCTGGAGAACATAAATAAACACAGGTAAGAAAGACCAATAAAGGAACATTCCTCACTAGATGGTTTCCAGAGTTCTGTATAAAAAACAGCCTTATACTATCTGGAATAATTTCACTGTCAGGAAGTTTTTCCTTGTAAAACTTTCTTTGTTTTTCTTAGGCCCACTACGCTTAGGTAAATTCTATCTTCCCTTTACTTTTGTATTCTAAATAGCTGTAAATTTTATCACGGGCTTCTTCAGACACCAGCTATCCCTAAAACTTAGACTGCTCTATGACACTAAATGAGATTTTTCAATATTCCCATTGTTCTTCAAAAGCCTCCACTGTCGTTTTGTGCCTTTGTTCTAAGTACCCTCCAAGGTTTGTAGTCCTGGGGGCACCAAATTAATGTTTTATTTAAGGTGCAGCCAATTGCTCTTCACTTCCGAACATGGAAATAGAAATCACATTTCATGAAGCTATTTCCACCAGGGTTGTGGTCACTCTAAAATATTCTGTGGATTTCTAATAGAAAGCAGGTAATGCCAACTGTGTGAAGACGGGCTGATTTATAACCCCAAGCGATGCTCAGACAATAATTTTATTTAATTGTCACAACTGGCTGAACATTTCTAACCTTCTAATTGTGAATAGAGGTTGCCTTGTGCAGCAAAATGACTCTTACAACAATGAACCATTCATTCTGCTGTGACTACACCAGTGGGCGGAGGGGAAGTGCCAGCTTTGTAATCTTTGAAATTATTACTATTAAAACAACTGTACAACTAGGATATTGGCACGTCGGCAAAGAAATAAAAAGCCTTCCATCTCTTACCTGTTCACAGTTTAGAACCAACCTGAGCTGGTAGCAACCATAACCATTAGCATCTGGTAGGGCTGGTGCATTCACAAAGTCATCAGTAATGCGAGCTGCGCGATGCGATGATAAGAGAACATGCTCAGACAAAAAAAAAAATGCTGGAAAGATGAGAAGCCTTGTCCCTTTCCACAAGAGGTGGCTGATAGGGTGAAAAACACAGAACAGAAGGAGAAGCAGTGCAAGATTTGCAAGCCTGTTCCTAACACCCAGCAGCGAGGGAAATCCTTGTCTTCTCCTTTGAAGCAATGGCTGAGAACAAGAACAAGAAAAGAAGTCTTATTTAGCAAAAAGGTGGGGAGGTTAGAATGTTAAAAAAATGATAAAACCCTGTAGGAATTAATCAGCATTTTTTCCGGAGAAAAGTACAATATATGGATCTACAAGTGCAGAAAATGTCTTTTTTTTAAAGAAATACCATATAATATTGTTTTATAGACCATTATTACAAGCCTTATCCTAGAGAAAATATACTACGAAGTCAGTCTGCCTTTGTAGAGGTGGGCTTTGCATTCATCATTTTAATTTCAGTTTTAAAACCAAAGAAGGACAGCTATTTATTCTGGTAAAGTTGCTGTGCATCGCCCTTCCATTTCTTACCTTCATCATGGAAGCTCAAAAGTGTTAAGAAAGACACGTTACAAGGTTCACTTGACAAAAAAGCATGGTTCACTTCACATGCTTCTCCATTTGGAGCAGACAGTGTGCTTGGTGGACAGCTGAAAGGGCAGATGTGCCCCCCATCCCACCAAAGCAGGGATTCCTCCTTCATAATGGACATAATGGTCCAAGTGCTTGTGGGACCTTGGAGCAGACTGGAAACTGCTGAATGCCATGCTCGGGAAGGGAGAGGAGGAAGCAAAAACACAGAAGATAAACTGGGCCAAGAGGTCCTAGGGGGGTTTCATACACGAATCAGATTATATTAGGTCAAAGCGCATCACTGGAAGTGGACGTGATGCCTTCAAACCTGGACAAAATGAGACTGAAAGCATTGCTTTGAAATTCCTTGCTATGGAATCCTAGGAAATTTCACCCCAGTGAATAAGTATTATCGGTTGCACTCAGGTGTTAACCAGGAAAGAGGTGTTCTTGCCTCCACTTACACAAAGATCCCTGAGGAATGCCCCAGGCAGTTGATCTTTTTCAGGAAGATCAGCCTGGTACCTACTGCAGGAAGGTCTCGGGCACAGGAGCTCAGTGAACAAACCTACTCTATAAAGCTCTTCATCTGCAGTGTTTTTGGGTGTGTTTTGGAATGGAGCTTTTAGCTCATAGAAACAAGCAAATTATCCTCATGATCTCTGCATCCCAGTCTCACCCATGACATCGTAATGCTGGTTTATATGATAACCAAGTAAGTATCTGAGCACCTTGCTGTCTGTGCGAGTTGGACCTTTGGCACATGCAAATCAGATGAGACTCTGCCCCACAGAAGCTGTGACCTTACAATAGGGCATTTCGCCTTCCCTTTGGTTTCAAATGCAGCAGCTCAGATTTTCATTTACATGAAGATCTTTTACATCAATTACAGCTGAATTTTATGCTATAACTAAGATCCCTTTGCTCCGAAAAAGTGGTTCAACGTGCATTAATTAATTACATTCAATAAGCACACAAGAGACCGCCTTGTGGTTTTTGTTCCTCCTCTAAGAATTTTGGGAAGTTGGCGGCAATTCACAGAAGTGCTCAGCTCCATAAGCCTTTCTCCCTCAAATTCTCCAACTCTCCCCTTCTGCACACCTTGCTGCTTTCCGTGAGGTCTCTCGAGCAGCCACAAATGTGTTTCTGTTCTTGTATCCTACTCCGTGCATTTGCTAAATCCTTTACAATGGGTTTTCCTCAAAAGCTAAAAACTTTCCATAAACTGGTTTTTACCTATCCAAGTTTTGCAGATGTACTCTCCTGAGACGCTGACTTCACTCGTTTAATGATTCCTATCCAGCTACTGCATTTTTACAGCAACTGCACGAGGGGATTGTGACCAGAAGAACCAGGGAAAGGCTCGTCTGAGTGTATTCAAAGGACTTAAACGTATGAGCAGAACATCCATGAGGCAGTTAAAGAAAAATTCACCTTAACTCTCCGGTATTGTATCTTTGTTGTGTCTTCTGTTCTTATGTAAAGAAACTCTTGGATTAATATTAAATTTATTATTAGAGCCGTGCAGGTGGAAAAGAATTCTAGATGGGTAGAGAAACTACAGAGTAATTGCCCGGGAGTGGTCACTAGTAGGGGAAGACAGAAAGTAATGCTTAGTTGGGAACAGTGATCTTCCAAAAGACAATCTTTCAGTGACCTTTCAAAAAGACAGAATTTTTGCTGCTATTTCACTTTTACCACAGCTTTGTCCAAATGGGAGTATTGTGCAGAATTCTGCTTTTCTGGTTTCTGGTGTCTTTAGCACAATGGACATAAACAATGAAGAACTTCTGGTGCTCACCAAAACCAGAGCATCCACCAAGCTGATGGGGAGTCCGAGAAAAGGGGAGCATTAGAATTTGAGACCACATGAAATACAAATCACAACCTGCGTTCAGAATCTGTGGCTGGTAGAGCTCACCCGAAAGGCTGGAGGGATAGATCTGCTAATGCTATATACTGTGCTCTCCCTCTGCGCTGCCTGTGAAGCTCCTCTGTGATGGAAGGGAAGATCTTGGCAGCCTTTGGTGCCTTGCCCGTCATTCCCATGACGCTGCCATACATTCCCTTCAGCATTTTCTACATCTTTCCTTTACCTCCCAACAGCAGCAACATCAGTTACTCAACAGGAAACGGCTCAGAATGAGCCTTTCATTTGAGGAGTCTGCCAAAACCAAAACACTTTTAGAAATAGACAACTGATCTCATAAACAGAAATAAATCTAAAATTAACTGAAACCAAAATCACATGTTTCCCCCCCCCACGCCCCCACCCAGGTCTCTGGGTGTTGAGAATCTTAAGCTGAGATCTCCATTCTGAAATTAAAATTAGACTCGCAGCCTGAAAACTAACCTCAGACTCAAACTTCGGAGGAGCGGCTCGAAATGATACGTTCTATACTTAGATATAAATGCACAACTTTAGACTCATCTGTACTCATAAGTTGTTTCCTAGAAACAAAATCTTACGATTTCTGTTCAATTAGATTGTGTATTTTAATTAATTCTCTAATCTTTCTCTGGAAGCACATCATCAAATATAAGAGGCATCTGCACCGCTGTAATTGACATAAATAGAAATAATGAATGCACAACCTTTGGGTTGATTGGACACCTGGATTATTTCTTGCTGAGAAAAATAATACATCTTTCCACAAGCAAATTTTGGGAAGAGAGAGAGTGGTAATTTCATCAACAAAGCATTAGGGGAAAAAGCGGGCTAGAATTACACACATTTACTAGGTAGAGCCTCTACTCCATCCTCTGTCAGGGCTTTGCTCAAGAGACTGAAATGAAACGGCAACAGTTGGTTTCTCTCAGAGATTTCTGTAATAGAGAACAGAGGATCCAGTCCATGTATAGGAATTCTGGAAATCCTCACTGAAATACAGCAGGAATTCTGTTTGCCACCGTAATTCCTTCTGACTGAAATAATCCCACTGAAATCTATTTCTTCTGTTTTGTTTTGGTTTGTTTTTTTTTTTCCAACAGAATAGGCTTTCATTTCTGTAAAGGGATAATACTATTGTTACACCTATTTGTTCTGTACAAACAAATTCTTACAGAATACAGACCATTTACTTTGCAAAAATCGATCTCTTGCCTCTTGCACTTGGAATTTCATGTACAGAACACAAACCTCCTGAATGATTCCCATAAGGATTCATTTAAGAGGCTTCATTATGTGGAAAGGGTATAAAAGCAACCCAAGACCTAAAATGGCTGCTCGGCATCGTGTTGTTCGGTGGCTGCCGGCGTGATTTACAGCTACGCATTTTCTGCTCTTCTTTCTTTAGCTTCGTGCTGAATTATAAATGAACGACTGGATCCTGGGGTTCTTCTCCTACCTCGAAATAAAATTAACCTGATTGAGGGACAGTTTTCTAACACAGGGACTCAATGGATTCTTTATAAGGAAATACATTATTTGGAGAGAAAGACCCAAACCCCTCTCAGACCTTCCAGTTTTCCTCTGAAATGAAGAGTAAAGAAAGCTAGATGCAAAACCAGACCAGACAATTAAACGTAAGCTAATTTGAGGCAGTTGTGTGGATAAGCAATTCATAATGCTTTGGGTGAACAAATATTTAAGCAGCTAAAAGGTGACTCGTAGGCTTTGGCTGCATTTGAACGCTCACGTGTGGTGAATTTTTCTACTGAGGGAGGTACTGGACAACACGTGCCATCTGCAAAATCACCTTCACCCTTCCCGACAGCATGGATGCTTCCTGTCTGCTTCACGGCTGTGGTCCATATCTGTTATTAAATAATGTAGGCAAATGCTGCAATCCCATCCCGCAAACGAATTGTAAATAATTACTGAGCTTCTTTTTTTTTTTAACAGATGACGCAAGCCCCTGCCTTAGGGGCGTGCAGCCTACCTCAACAACAGGCTAAAAAGATGGAAAATAATACACAACACCAGAAATTGGGCGGGAAGGGGGGAAGGTCTGGCCCCGCTCAATACTGAAGGCTTGAGAGAAGACATTCATAGGAAGACAGAAGAGACAGAACTGTGAAGTTCAAAGTCAAGAGGACATTTAACACTCAAAGGCCATCTAAATTTTACTTTCATCCTGGATGCAGCCCCCAGACCTGCTGGAGGGAGAATCACCTCCATGGGGCAGGCCCAGAGGCAAGGACAGACCCCAGGGAGGCATCTCTGCAGGCCCTTTGCACCCTCTGACCACAGCCACCAACACAGCTCTTGGGGCCGTCAACCACAAAGGTTCCTTAGCTCTCTCCTTGGATTATAGGCCAGGGTTAGGCTGATTTAGCCTTATTTCTTTTTGTAAATAAGGCACCAGGATCTGCCAGCAACATTCCTCTCATTTTATCTGATCTCATAAGAATTATTTTTAGTAAGAGCTGGTTTGGCCTGAAAGAAAGCTATTCTCTAAAAAAAGCTTTGTACACTTAAGACATATGGGACAGAAGGAAGCCTGCATGTAGCGTTACTGTTTTTTTTCCAGTCACCAGAAAAACCCTGAAATTGCCCTTTTTAGCAAACAGAAAAGATAAATGGGTTGGTTCTGAATTGAAAATAATAGATATGCCTTGTGCCATTCTTGACAACCTTTTCTGAAGTCTCATTAGCTCACAGAACATGT